AAAAAAAAAAAAAAAAAAAAAAAAAAAGTAACAGTACTTGCAGCCAGGTATAGTGGCCGGTGGCTCACGCCTATAATCACAACACTCTGGGAGGCCGAGGTGGGTGGATCACCTGAGGTCAGGAGTTCAAGGCCAGCATAGCCAACATGGTGAAACCTGGTCTCTACTAAAAATACAAAAATTAGCCAGGCTTGTTGGTGGAAACCTCTAATCCCAGCTACTCAGGAGGCTGAGGCAGGAGAATTGCTTGGATCTAGGAGGCAGAGGTTGTAGTGAGCCAAGATCACACCATCACGCTTCAGCCTGGGCAACAAGAGCAAAAAGTCGTCTCAAAAAAAAAGAAAAAAAAACAGTACTTAAGAAACAATTTTTACAAAACATAAAAGGAACATGTTGGCTTTATTGGGAAATTTATTACATAAAGCACAGGAGAAAATAGGAGAAAGTCAAAAGCCCAATAAGGAAACTAGGAAATGTGCATATGAACATGTGTTTGGGGGTCAGATCCAAACTCCAGCTCAGCCACCAGCATGACCTAATGCTGCTCATCTGTGCAGCTTCCCAGGCATCAGTTTTTTTTTTTGTTTTTTTTTTTTGGAGACGGAGTTTCGCTCTTGTTACCCAGGCTGGAGTGCAATGGTGTGATCTTGGCTCACCGCAACCTCTGCCTCCTGGGTTCAAGCAATTCTCCTGCCTCAGCCTCCTGAGTAGTTGGGACTAGAGGCACGCGCCACCGTGCCCAGCTAATTTTTTGTAGTTTTAGGAGACGGGGTTTCACCATGCTGACTAGGATGGTCTCGATCTCTTGACCTCATGATCCACCCGCCTCGGCCTCCCAAAGTGCTGGGATTACAGGCTTGAGCCACCGCGCCCGGCCAGGCATCAGTTTTAAGTCAGAAAGACTAAACCGGCCTGAAGTAAAAATTCTTTTCTCTGCATTAGTAACTTTCTACAGGACATGATTAACTTATACTGATCCAACCCAATTCATTCAGTACCCACTATGCCAATCACATATAAATGTTTGTAGGTTTAAGCCAGCTACCTTTATTCAGGAAACTTTCATTTTGTTACCCTGATACTCATGCCTTTATTTCCTGCACAGAATTATCACTATATTATAAAATACTTGAATATATACTAAAGTACTTTGCAAACAAAGCAAAATGTAATTATATACTGACTTGTGACTTGCTTCTAATAGGTGTGAATTAAAATTCATCAGACTTAAAACATGCAATTTCTATACACAAACTGAACCCTTTAACAAAGCAATTCTTTTTAAAAAGTTATCAATTAAAGTATCCTGTTACTTTTTTTATGGAGACAGTGTCCTGCTGGAGTGCAGTGGCAGAATCTCTGCTCACTGCAAGGTCCACCTCCCATGTTCAAGCAATTCTCATGCCTCAGCCTCCTAAGTAGCTGGGATTACAGGTAGGCACCACCACGCCTGGCTAATTTTTGTATTTTTGTTGTAATAGAGACAGGGTTTCACCATGTTGGCCAGGCTAGTTTCAAACTCCTGGCCTTAAGTGATCTGCTTGCCTTGTCGTCCCAAAATGCTGGGATTACAGGCGTGAGCCACCACACCCAGCCTTTTTTTTTTTTTTAAGAGATGGGGTTTCACCATGTTGGTCAGACTGGTCTCGAACTCCTGATCTCAGGTGATCCACCCGCCTCGGCCTCCCAAAGTGCTAGGATTACAGGCATGAGCCACCACGCCCAGCCTTTTTTTTTTTTTTTTTAAAGTAACTTCCTGCTACTAAAACAAAACCCTCAGTGTAACCCAAATTAAAAAAGAATTTTTTGTTTTAGATGGAGTTTCACTCTGTCACCCAGGCTGGAGTGCAGCAGCATGATCTCGGCTCACTGCAACCTCCGCCTCCCAGATTCAAGCAATTCTCCTGCCTCAGCCACCCAAGCAGCTGGGATTACAGGTGTGCACCACCAAGCACCAGCTAATTTTTGTTATTTTCAGTAGAGATGGGGTTTCACCATATTGACCAGGCTGGTCTTGAACACCTGCGTCAGCATCCCAAAGTGCTAGGATTACAGGTGTGAGCCACCATGTCTGGTTAGATTGATTTTATATTGATTGATTTATATTTTATATTGATTTTAAACAACCTTAGAAGGAACAAAAGCCCAGGGTGCAAATAACAGCAAACTACTGCCCTCCCCAACCCACTTCCTTTAGGCTGTTTCAGGCCCTTTTCCCTGGTCCCTCATTTTTCTTGCTCCCAACACAGCTTACTTTTTGCACTGCTAAAGGTATAATGGAATTCCTAGGATTCTGATAAAGACTTGCTTAGAAGACTAAAAGCCAATCTATGACAAAGATACAAATCTTAATGTCACTTAAGAATCTCCTTAGCCAAAGCAATCTTAAAGAGCCGTGAAGATATTACATTTAAAGTCCAAGCTGCTTTTCTAAAAAGAGAGATCACAGATAACGAGATCTTCATATCATAAAACACAAATAGCTATTTTGTCAGACACCTAAAACTTGTCAAGCAATTTTTTTTAACATTTCAGTAGGTAAAAATAACATACTTGCATGGCAGAATTCTAATAATATCCTTTACTTTAAAATTTTCAATACACACTGCACAATTTTCAGCATCAACATCAATTCCCTGTAAAAAGAGAAGAAAAGTGTTATTATATCCTTGGTACATAGTATATCCCTTGGTAAACTCACTATATCGCGACTAAAACAATGATGAATTACCTTGTGGTACAACTGGTGAAACTAAAATACAAATAACTGTACTTGACATTTACCACTATTAGAGGATTATCCAAATAATATGATTGAAAAGGAAAAAATTTCATTGTCTGCCTAATCAGAAATGAACAGTGTTTAAATACTAATACACTATTCTTATGTGATTACTGTATTTAGAAAGATAGTTAGCCATGTGTATCCCCTGTCAATATGGAAGCAGTAAACATTTTAAATTAATTTATTTATTATTTATTTTTATTTATTTATTGACTGATTGATTGATTGATTGAGACAGGGTTTCACCATGTTGCCCAGACTGGTCTCGAACTCCTGGACTCCAGCAATCCTCCTGCCTCATCCTCCCAAAGTGCTGGGATTACAGGCGTGAGCCACTGCACCAGACTGCATTAGATTTTATATATAGACACTGTTATCAAAGACTATATTAAAATGAACATTTAACAACATTTAAAATTATATGTTTCAATTAAAGTAAATATTATCATTTATCATATGCAGGGCAAGAATGATGAGATAATTTTTAAAGTCTCTAATAATGGTTTGCAAGTTTATACATTACTGTGAATGAATCTACAAGAAAATAAAAATTAGACAACACTAGTCTCTCTAGAATGGAATATGATATAGACTGAAGAAAACACATTTTTTTTGTACAGTTTAAAATGTAAAATTGCAAAAAAAATCTGTGTACAGTTGCTCTTCAACTTACCATAGGTCACATCCTACTGAACCCATTGTAAGCTGAAAATATCATTAGGTTTAAAATGCATTTAATGTACCTAACCTACTGAACATCATGGCTTAGCTTGCCTACCATAAACATGCTCAGAACACTTACATGCCTACACTTGGGCAGAATCATCTAACACAAAGCCTGTTTTTTTGTTTTTTGTTTTTTCATTTATTTATTTTATTGCATTTTAGGTTTTGGGGTACATGTGAAGAACATGCAAGATTGTTGCATAGGTACACACGTGGCAGTGTGATTTGCTGCCTTCCTCCCCATCACCTACATCTGGCATCTCTCCCCTTGCTGTCTCAAAGCCTGTTTTATAATAGGGTGTTGACTATCTCATATAATTTACTGCATACCATACTGAAAGTGAAAAACACAACACCTGAAGTATGGTTTCTACTGGATGTATATTGCTTTTACACTGTCAGAAAGTTGAAAAATTGTTAAGTCAAACCACTGGAAGTTGGGGACCATCTGTATATACCACACAAATCATTTAGGAATCCTCTTAAAAAATATATACCGTAAGGCTGTTTTGCAAGGTAGCCTCTGTTTTTTAACCATTATTTTGACAACTTTCAAGAAACAGTCCCTGTAAGCATATTTTCAAAACTGTTCTATATGAGAAGAGGATAATATCAATTTACTTGTGTTCTCAAAGATTCAATTCAGTAAATTAAACATATACATCTACGTCTTCTCATACTTAAGAGCTGCGATTTCTTGCTAAGGAGGCTAAGAAGGCATGTTCCAAGAGGAACATAAACCACATGCTTGTCAAGTAACTGACTATGCTGAATGCATGCAGAGTTTGCCATAGGCATTAACTGGAAACTCTATCCCTAAGGACCTTCTGAGTGATCTGCAAATCAGACACTAATCTTAAGCCATGAGATATAATCTTTTTTTTCTTACTTTTTCTGTTCAATAAATTTGTATGAAAAGAAAACAATACCTTGCACAAACTATTAAAATTGAACCTGTACTACAAAAGCAATCAGCAAAGGAATGGTAGCCACCAATACAATTCTCAAAGTTCTATTAGTATCAATTTCAAATTAAAAAAATAAATAAATAAAAGGTCTGTAAGTTAATGTGTTATTTTTGCTTTAATCCTTTAAGGTCAAAGAATATACACCTAAGTGCAAGTACTCTTTCTTTCTGAAGGGGAGTAGAGATTGGAGGGTAAAATAGATTTTTTATTTACGGAGATAACACGAAAATCAAAATAGCTGAACCACGTCACAGCAGCAAGTCAACAATTATCAACATTTCACAGAACTATGAAAAGAATAAACACTACGCATTAGCAATAGTTTTCCTTTTAAGGCACCTATCCTCCAAGAATCTGAGCTTCTAGATTCAGGATTTGTCCTATTTCAAAAATGTTTTAAAATTCTGGTGTGATTTTGAAACTTTTTTTTTTTTTTTTTTTTTTTGAGACGGAGTTTCACTCATGTTACCCACGCTGGAGTGCAATGGCGCGATCTCAGCTCACCGCAACCTCCGCCTCCTGGGTTCAGACAATTCTCCTGCCTCAGCCTCCTGAGTAGCTGGGATTACAGGCACGCGCCACCATGCCCAGCTAATTTTTTGTATTTTTAGTAGAGACGGGATTTCACCATGTTGACCAGGATGGTCTCGATCTCTTGACCTCGTGATCCACCCGCCTCGGCCTCCCAAAGTGCTGGGATTACAGGCTTGAGCCACCGCGCCCGGCCGATTTTGAAACTTTTAAGTCTGAGACTGGCCATGTCAAAATGTTTGTTTTTCCAAAAGTAGTTTTAAAAACACCTTTTCTCTCCTTCTCCACAAATGGCAACATTTTCTCCCTGTAACTAAAGGACTCCAGGGAGTGGACACATAGTCTCAGATTTAACAGAAATGAACTGAAGCTATAGTCTCAGATTTAACAGAAATGAACTGAAGCTATTAGCTATCTGGCTCTGACCAGTACCACTTTCTTGGCTGCTGGGAATGTCCAAGCTGTCCAGTGGGGCGGCAACCAACCACTGTGGCTTCTAAAGTGCTTGAAGTGTCATCAGTGAGGAGCTCAATTTTAAATTAAATTTAATTCATTTAAATGCAAACTGCCATAGTGACTAGTGGCTACCATATTAGACAGTGCAGGACTAGGAGGCTCTTCTCAATGGCAAAATATTTCTGCCAATTCTTCTTTAAAATAAACATGTACAGCATATTCTCTAAACCATAAAACAAAAGAAAAAGCATGAAAATATTACCTTTTCTCCATGCTTTATAGTATGAAGTAGAAGCTGGCCAATAACTTTCTTAGTTTCTTTTCTATGGCTCTTGGGTAGGAAAATATTAATAGTTGTTATTGAAAAATTTAAATCACTATTTTTTTCTTAAAAGTCACAAACATAATACACGTAAGCATACAGAAAAAAATTTCATTTAAAAGGCAAAGTCAAATGACTACACTGAAAATAACATTTTAAGGCAAAAACCACAATTACTTTTGCGCCAACTTAATAAAAAAGCTTCAAAACAAAAGCTACTTTAAGTCTTAATAAGCAGAATAGCCACATATAACATTAAGAGCGGCTTGATCAAGAGCACTGATTTTAATTCCATGTCTGAAGAAGAAACCACTTCTTATGTTTAAATATTGGCAAGAAAGTAAGGAGCTGAGGATAGGGGTACCATATGTTCATCTATTCAAGTATCTAAAAGGAAAAGGCCTCTTCCTTATCCTCAAGACAAAATAGTCAACTTTCCACAATGACAGAAATGCGTGGGACATTCTAAAGACCTGCCTTGGGAAGCCACTGACTCTTCAATGGCCCTTCTCTTTGCTGTCACTGAGAGAGATTAACGGCTTTACTGTGGCTCCATGATAGAGACAGAGATGCCCCCCACTTCCTCTCTGCTCCTCACCTTGTCAGAGAATGAGAGCTACCTAAGGATAGGTGCACCCTTAACTCAGGCCTTTTCTTCCTTCTTTTTTTTTTTTTTTGTGACGGAATCTTGCTCTGTCTCCCAGCCTGGAGTGCAATGGTGTGGTCTCGGCTCACTGCAACCTCTGCCTCCCAGGTTCAAGTGATTCTCCTGCCTCAGCCTCCAGAGGAGCTGGGATTACAGGTGCCTGCCACCATGCCCAGCTAACTTTTTTTTGTATTTTTAGTAGAGACAGGGTTTCACCATGTTGGTCAGGCTGGTCTTGAACTCCTGACCTTGTGATCCACCCGCCTTGGCCTCCCAAAGTGCTGGGATTATAGGTGTTAGCCATCACGACTGGCCAATTCAGGCCTTTTCATCACTGCTTTATGTCTGACAAAGGACTAAGAGGGTTCCTGCAGGAACCAAATGTGCAAAAAGTAACCTATATTTAAAACTATCTAATTTCCCATAAAACAAAAAATTTAACATTGTCCAATTAAAAAGTTATATTTAAAAAGTCATGTGAATACTTAAATAATGTAAGCAAAAATAAAGAATATGGTCAAATGTAACTTCTAACAATATACATGGGGCATATTTATGAATTATCTTTTAAAAAGCAAAATTCAGGGTTATACATCATTACCTGACTTCCAATCTGAGAGCCAGTATATAGGAAACGCTGTATATAGTAAAATATTAGCCAGGCTAATGAGATAATCATCATGGTGATGAAGGCAATGGCCACAAACACCACAGACTGACTGCTGATGAACTCCTGTACATGCCGGGTGCCAACCCCTATGGTCATTGTTACTGGAATTCCTTTTTGCACCAGCTCCAGAAGTTCTCTTCCTTTTGGATAGCTAATCATAATGACCACTATATTTCCCGTTCCTGTAGGAAAGAACAAAGAAATCAAATGTGAAGAACACAAAATACAATACAAAGAAGATTATAATAAATATAAGGGTACTATGTTCATCTACATATGTAAATACATTAGAAAAATTCCATGGAAAATGTAAGTTACCAAACCTGGTTCCAAAAGAAACTGATTACATTAGAAGCAGTAGAATAAATCACTAAGAACTATTCCCCCCGCCAAAGCTAGAGCACCGTTCAGTTTTACAGGTGAAGTCTATCACCAAATCTTTAAGGAACAAGTAATACCAATGATATTTGAGTTGTTCCATAGCAGATTAAAAAAAAAACATTTTAAAATTACCTATAAGATAATAAAACCAAATACGGTAATAAACAACCAACAAAAAAACCATACAAGCCAGGCGTGGTAGCTCACACCTGTAATCCCAGCACTTTTGAGAGGCTGAGATAAGAAGATCAATTGAGGCTAGGAACTGGAGACCAGCCTGTATAAGCAAGACCTTGTCTCTATACACAATTTAAAGAGAAAAATAAGTCAGGAGGCTGAGGTAGAGAATTGTTTGAGCCCAGGTGGCTGAGGCTGCAGTGAGCTGGGATTATGCTACTGCACTCTAGCTCGGGTGACAGAGTAAGACTGCATCTCAACAAAAAACAAACACAACACTATACAGACCATTCTACTTATGAGTACTAATATATAATGCCTAAAGCATGTTCACTAAAATCAGGGAGACAATATGAGAATTTCTACTATGATCACCATTATTTAGCATTGCTCTGAAGGCATAAGCAGACATAAGACAAAAATTAAGAGACACAGAAAAGAAGGGCGAAAATAAAAAATTTTACATGAATTTGGCTACAAATTAATGTAATAATCATAAAATATTAATAGGATTCAGAAAGAACTAAAGATATTGCTTCTAAAGTTTACTTAGAAGGAAAATAAGATGATCAGAAAGTTTTAAACAGTGAAAGCTGAACTGGTCTTTATAGATAAAGTAATGAAAACACTGTGGCTGTAGCATATGGAGATGCCCACAGAATAATAAGACAGAATAAAAGTCCAGAAATAGGCCCAAATACACGAAAGAATTTAGTGCATGATAAAAGCAGTATTCCAAATGCATGAGGCAAAATGAATTATTTAAAAAATCACGTGGGCAACTGGGTATCACTGGTGGGGCGGGGAGGAAGCTGAATCAATTTCTCACAACTTACACCAAAATAAATTACAACTAAATCAAATATTTTAACGTGTACACACACACACACACACACACACACACACACACACACACACACACATATATATATATATATATATAAAGAGGAAACATACAATGGCCAGAAGAAACATGGGAATTAAAAAATACACATTGAAGAAAAACTTCTCCAAGTAGATAAAAGCCACCTCAGAGGTTCTTAAAAAAATTTTTTTTAACTATATAAAAATGAAAATTTTCTCCATGAGTAAAAGCAAAACCAAGGTCAAAAGAGCAAATGGTTGGCCAGGCGCGGTGGCTCATGCCTGTAATCTAGCACTTTGGGAGGCTGAGGCAGGTGGATCACCTGAGGTCAGGAGTTCGAGACTAGCCTGGCCAACATGGCGAAACCCCGTCTCTACTAAAAGTAAAAAATTAGCCAGGTGTGGTGGCAGGAGGCTGAGGCAGTAGAATCACTTAAACCTGGGAGGCAGAGGTTGCAGTGACCTGAGAGGGCACCACTGCACTCCAGGGACAGAGTGAGACTCCATCTCAACAAACAAACAAACAAAAAGAGCAAATGGTCAACTTGGAAAAAATAAATGTAACATAACAAAGACAATAAACTAATATCCTTAAAAATAACAGAAAAACATAGAAAATAAAATTAATTTGCATAAAAGAAAATAAAAAGGGCTTTTTGTTTTTATTTTTAAAGAGATGGGGTCTTGCTCTGTCACCCAGGATAGAGTACAGTGGTGGGATCCTAGCTCACTGAAGCCTCAAACTCCTTGGCTCAAGTGATCCTTCTTTAGCCTCCTGAGTAGCTGGGACCACAGGAACACACCACTAAACCCAGCTAATTTTTTTCACTTTTTTGTAGAGATGGGGTCTCACTACGTTGCCGAAGCTAGCCTTGAACTCCTGGCCTCAAGCAACCCTCCCATCTCAACCTCTCATAGTATTAGGATTCTGGCATGAGCCACTCTATGCCTGGCCAAATGGCTATTTTAAATAGCAGCTTTAGGCTGGGTGTGGTAGCTCAAACCTGTAATCCCAGTACTTTCAGAGGCCAAGGCGGGCGGATCCCCTGAGGTCAGAAGTTTGAGACCAACCTGACCAACATGGTGAAACCCCATCTTTACTAAAAATACAAAAATTAGCCAGATGTGCTGGTGGGTACCTGTAATCCCAACTACTCAGGAGGCTGAGGCAAAAGAATTGCTTGAACCCAGGAGGCAAGAGGCTGCAGTGAGCTGACATTGCGCCACTGCACTCCAGCCTGGGTGACAGAGCGGGACTCTGCCTTAAAATAAAATAAAATAAAATAGCAGCTTTATTGAGATATAATCCACCTACCACAAAATGCACCCTTTTAAAGAGTATAAATCAGTGGTTTTTAGCAGATTCATAAGGCTGTACAACCATCAACACTTTCTAATTCCATGTTTTCATTACCCTAAAAAGAAAGACTGTGTGCACAGGCAGTCACTCCCTGCAAAAGGGATTTTAAACACGTGAAAAATCTTCCTTGGTAACAAATTAAAACACTTCCTGTAAGATTGGTAAAGATCAAAAAGTCTGATACACTATATTGGCAAAAGCAGGCACAAATCAGCACTCTTGCACACCGCTGGGGGAGTGAATAAATTACTACACTCTTCTACGAAAGCCAATGGCATTGGAAAAATTCTAAATGCCCATGCCTCTCTGACCCAGCAATTCTGTGTCCTGGAACTTAATTGTACAGATGTACCCAATGAGGTATCTATAATGCTTTATTGTTGGCTGGGCACAGTGGCTCATGCCTGTAAAGGCTGTAAACTTTGGGAAGCCAAGGCGGGCGGATCAAGAGTTTGAGACCAGCCTGGCCAACATGGCAAAACCCCGTCTCTACTTAAAAGAAACACAAAATTAGCTGGGTGTGGTGGCACATGCCTATAGGTCCAGTTACTTGGGAGTCTGAGGCAGGAGGATCACCTGAGCCTAGGAGGCAGAGGCTGCAGTGAGCTGAGATTGCGCCACTGCACTCCAGCCTGGGCAACAGAACAAGACTCTGGCTCAAAAATAATAATAAAATTAAATAAATATATAAAAAAGATTTATTGCCAGTACTTTTTCCTAAGTTTTTGCTATCACAATCTAAATGTCCATCAAAAGGAAAACGGCTACATAAATTACAGTATGTGTATGAAGGTTGAAGTAGCAGCTCTGTAAGTACTAATAGTACTCAAGACAGA